TAGCCTCAACCTCCCAGGCTCAAATGATCCTCCTACCTCAGCCTCCCAAGTAGCTGGGACTGCAGGTGTGCACCAGCACACCTACCTAATTTTTAAATTTTTTGTAGAGACAGGGTCTCCCTATGTTGCCCAGGCTGATCTCAAACTCCTGGGCTCAAGTGATCCTCCTGCCTTAGCCTCCCAAAGTGCTGGGATTACAGGTGTGAGCCACCATGTCTAGCCCCCTTCTCTTTTATACAATTCCCTTGTTAACACCCATATCCAGTGTTTTGTAATAAAAATGCCTCATGGTTTTATAACAATTTCGAAATTGTTTCTTATAACAGTTCTGCTACGTGTACATTATTATGCTTATTTAAAGAGAAGGAAACTGAAGTCTAAAAAGTTGAGTCAGTTCACCTATGGTTACAATGAGTCATTGTTACACAAGGGATTATTTTAACCCGTCTCCAGTGATTTTCCCCCACCACACCTACTCTACACTCTGCTTCTAATGCTTTTTCAGGGAGAAAAGGACCCAATGGTAAGACTGGGGACAGGAATCAAAGACTGCCGTCCTGACTTACAGAACCGTACACAGTTCTAGTTGCCAGGCCCCAAGAATGATGTCATCTAGGCACTATCTCGAGAACCATTCGTTCTCTCTAAGCTGGAACTTAGAAGAATGAAAGCAGGCTCCTATTATATAATTATGATCTTGATTGCCCTGGGCCTACTCAACTGTACATTTTTTCCAGAGCCAGGAAGTCTTCATACCCTGAAAAGAGCAAGCCCCTTTGGTCAGTGGGCCTCAACTCTGACTCACCTGGGAGCTTTACAAAAATTACCAATTCCCAGGCCCAGCGCTGGATATTTTAATTGGCTTGGGGCCCCGGCATCAGTATTTTTAGAGGCTCCCAGGTGATTGCAATGCGCAGCCAGGCTGAGAATCACTGCTGAGTAAGTGGGATGAGTGGGGAATGAGAGATCAGATATTCACTTTAACTTCTCAAGCACCTATTCTGGAGACCAGTGGGGTAGAAAGATAGAAATAAAGGAAAGCGATGTAATGGATAAGCGTGAGTGAATTAGTTCCAGGGAAACGGTAATCTCCACTGTGGATTCAGGGAGAGCGTCACTGAGGACGACTTTCTTTCTTTCTTTTTTGAGACCGAGAGGACGGCTTTCTTAACATTCAGGTCAGTGGAAGAAGCCAACTCGAGGCACACATCGTGCGCGGCGTCCTCCGGGGAGCTCGGGTCATTTTACCCCATTTTACTGCCGAGACGACCTAGGTGCAGAGACGGTAAAGAGCGGTGTACGATTCATACAAGTCGGGGGTCCTGTGAAATGAGGTTGAGCCTGGCGGGTGCAAGGCTCGGGGTGTTCGGCCCGAGGTCTTTAAGCAAGGTATCTGAACTCATCGTTCAAAGCCCCGAGGTTGGCGGGCGGTAGGCTCTCGGCCTCAGGCCTGGAGACAACCTAGGGGGTTGAGGGGTCGAATCTCAACCTCGCTCCCGCGTCCAGCTGGAGGGGCGGAGCTGCTCAGCCCCGCCTCCGGGTTAAACAAAGTTCGTTACTGGTGTGGCAGTCTTGTTGCCGCTTCCGGGCCAAGAGGTTAGCGAGAAGGAACTCCTCCACTACGCGACGGCGTGGTCGACGTCACTTCCGCGCGCCGCCCCAAACGTCAGTGTAGGGCGCAGACCGCGGTGGTGCAGCATTCTGTTAGAAGTTCTGTCTCGGTTGTCTTTTGCGAGCCATGGAGAGTGACTTTTATCTACGTTACTACGTGGGGCACAAGGGCAAGTTCGGCCACGAGTTCCTGGAGTTCGAGTTCCGACCGGACGGTAAAAGCAGCATGTAGCCTGCCGGGAGCGGTGACCAGGGCTGAGGGCGGGCGAGTGGGGAGGCGGAGGGTCGGAAATCAGTGGGGAAAGAGAGGAGGAAGGGACTGAGACCTGTGCAGCGCGAATCTGAAAGGAACGCCCCTGTGTCTGCTCCACGGGTTGTTGTTTTTTTTAAATCCGTTTAACCAATGTTGACCTTACGCCCACTGTGTGCCAGGCTCTGTTCCCCTCTTTGGGGAAACGGCAGCGAAGGTAGACAAACTTCCCCTCTCATGGAATTTGTGTTTTAGTGCCGGGAGAGAGATCATAAACAAAAAGATGATTCCAGATAGTAGTGATTTTTAAAAAAACATGGTAGAATAATTGCTGGATGGGCTGCTTTTAAATAGGCTGACCATTAGAGAGCTCTCTTTAAAGGGTGTATTGCAGCCGATCCCTACTGAACAACAAGGACCTAGCCTTGTGAAGCTCAGGAGAAAGACCATTCCACCCAAAGAGATTGGCAGATGTCAAGGTTGCAGGGCGGAATGAGCTAGGCATGCCTCTCAAGTGGTCAGTGTGGTTGAAGAGTGGTAAGCTGAGAGCAGATGACGTCAGATAGGTAGGTAGGAGCCACACCTTCTAAGTCTTTAAAGACAATGGTAAAGGGTTTGGAATTGAAAAGTTTATTGTTGTTTGGACTTGGAAGATTTGTTGTTGTTGTTGTTGTTTGGACTTGGACTTGGAAGGGTTGTTGTTGTTTTGAGACGGAGTTTTGCTCTTTTTGCCCAGTCTGGAGTGCAATGGCGCGATCTTGGCTCACTGCAACCTCTGTCTCCCGGGTTCAGATTCTAAGCCTCAGCCTCCCGAGTAGCTGGAATTGCAGGCGCCCACCACCACACCCGGCTAATTTTGTATTTTTATTAGAGGTGGGGTTTCACCATGTTGGCCAGGCTGGTCTCAAACTCCTGACCTCAGATCCCCCCACTTTGGCCTCCCAAAGTGCTGGGATTGCAGGCGTGAGCCACCGCACCCAGCCGGACTTGGAAGGTTTTAAACAGAGAAGAAATGGGATCTGTTCTTGAAAAAGCATTCTGGTTATTGGGAGCACAATGGGCAAGAGTGGAAACAGGGCTATTGATTAGGAGGAGACTGTTGCAGTTATCAAGACAAGAAGGTTATTTGTTGGGACTACCGCGACAGTAGAAATGGAGAGGAGGATTTAGGAAACAGCTGGAGGCAGAAACAGTTGGACTTTGCTGATTGATAGGAGCTTGTTGGGGGAGGCACTGTGGTGAAGAAAAGACGAATCAAAGATAACAGAAAACATCCACTAAGTGGGACACAAAGATGAAACTGACAGGCCCCGACTGTGAGGGAGACAGATTTATAAGCAAACAGTGACAAAACAGTGTAGTAGGTGTTGTGGTAAAAAGAAACAGAGGAGGCTTGCAGCAGAGAAGAGGCACCTAACCAAGCCGGAGGGTCAGAGAAGTCTTCCTACATAAAATGATGTGGGAGGAAGGGATGTGAGGAATTGGTTAGGAGACCAAGAAGAGTCAAGAAGGCATTTTAGACAACATGCAAAGAGGCTGAAAACCAAAAAGTGCTTGGGGTGTTTCAGGCAGAATACCAAGTAGTTTGACTCCAGCCACGTGAGAGAAGAATATTATTGCAGGAGTGAGGCTAGAAAAGCAGGCAGGGGCCAGCCTAGCTGTATGCCATGTTGAGGAGTTTGGATTTTACCAGGAAGGCAGTGGAAAGCCATTGACTGTATTAAAATATTAGAGTAACCCAATCTGATAGGTCTGTTACCACATCACCTGGTCCACTGTATGGACAGTGAACTGAACGTGAAGAAACTTGAGGCAGACAGACATCACAGAGGCTGTTGGATACATTCATTTGGCTCATCTCACATGTATGTCTTCTAGTCTACAGCAGGAGAAGTCATGTCTTCTGTTTACTTTTATCTTCCCCTCATCCCCACCGTATACTCACATTAACCTGTTACATGCACCCATGGACAAAGGGTCTTGTGTACCAAATATGCTCAGTGATAAAAGCAACAGCTTTTCCATCACAGAAAGAGAGTGTGGCACAGTCACATGATAACGTATGTAAACAGCATCCTACAGTTTTCAAAATGTTTTCACAACTCATTTGAGCCTCAGGAAGTCCTATGTGCGGGTAAGTTATCAGTTACTATGCCTCTTTTCAAGACATTAACCTGCAAAAATGTGATTTGACAATGTCAGAAAAGAGCCTGCTTGTGTTTATATCTCACCCAAGCTGCGTTTTACAGTAGAGTGTCAGCTGTATATTTGGCTGTTTAAGCCTGAAGTGAAGAACTGAAAAGACTAGTATTGTTGATACACCATAAGAGTAAATAATAAATCTATTAGACACTTTGAGCAAGTTAGATACATTTTAGGGAACTGCTGATAGTCTTGGTATGTATTGATGCTTTATTCATATGTTTTATTATACATGAAATTTGCTTTTTGCCCCCATAGGGAAATTAAGATATGCCAACAACAGCAATTACAAGAATGATGTCATGATCAGAAAAGAGGTATGAGCTTTCTGCCCTCTGAGAGTCCTTCATTTGCTACATTTCAGCTTTTTGTCTTGCATTTTTTTGTTCTTTCTGGTAGTATTGAAAGGTAGAGAACAGGGAGAAAAATACATGTCTGTAGACAGCTTCTGGATTATTTCCCAAATCATCTTTTAATTGGTATTTTTTTCTTTTACAATGTGGAATCAACTACTGGAACCACTGACATACCTTGGTTTGAACCCTGAGTCTGCTGCCTACTACCCCATGTGACCTTCGGCAAGTTCCTAACTGAACTTGATAAGTCCCTGTTTCTTCACCTGTAAAAGCAGGGATAATAAAAGCTACCTCCCACTCCCAAGTGCTGTCACAAAATTAAATAGGTTATACTTAAAGTGCTCAGTATATTCACTGGCACATAGTACTCAAGGGAGAGCTATTTAATTTACATCCGAATGTGAAAAGGAGCATGGGAAAGCAGTTGATATCATTGAGTGCATGTTAGATATCAGGCAGGGCATCTTATTTAACTCTAATTATAAGCCCATGTGATGGGGGAGGATATTATAAGAAAATAAAACCCCAGATATTAATTGTGAGGCTTGTTAAGAGTTACCCCTATTAGCAACAGATACAGCAGGAATTCCCAACCCTGCCCCAGTAAAGTTTGTATTCTCCGTTCTGTGATCTCTACCACATTGCTAAGGCTTCATCAAAGCTACTGTTTACTTTTAGCCACTTTGCCACCTTTGGAAATGTCTTAGCATATGTTTTCGTACTGTTATTTTAGCTATTGATTTTATGCTTATATACATGTCAACATCCTCATTATTTTTTTACACAGGCATATCTTTTAAAATGCATTTTGTTCCTCAGGAGTGTATTACCTAGTTAAGAATAACTGGGGAATGTGGATGTCTCAGTCTCTTGTTTTCCTATAACAAAATACCTGAGACTGGGTAAAATATATTTCTCACAGTTTTGGAGGCTGGAAAGTCCAAGATCAAGGTGCTGGCAGGTTCAGTGTCTGGTGAGATCCAAGTCTCTGCTTCCACAATTGCGCCTTGTTTTTGCATCCCCCAGAAGGGATGAATGCTGTATCCTCATGTGGTGAAAGAACAGGAAAGGGGCCAGCTAGTTCCCTTCAGGTCTCTCCTAAGGCATTAATCCTGCCCTTGAGGGCTCTGCCCTCAAGGCATGATCACCTCCTAAAGGCCCTATCCCTTAACACTGTTGCCTTGGGGATTAATTTCAACATGAATTTTGTAGGAGAGACAAACATTTAAACCACAGTAGGGGGCATTCACGGATCTGTTTTGGGTTCTGTTGTTATTTGGCTATGTGGGCAGGGAGAAGGGCCATGTGAACAGGATGTACCAGGAGTAGTACCAGCTAGATGGGGGACTGAGGTACAGCTATTTGATACTTTTGACCCTGTCCCTCACCTGCACCATGCTGAGGTTGAGAGTGAATGTCTTCCCACTTCAGGAGATGCCAGAAATAAGTCTGCAGGATCAGTTATTTTTATCTTCCATCACTATCTGAGTCAAAGCACTGCTTAAGGACACAACATACATTTTGTCTTTTAACTTGCTTTCAGGCTTATGTACATAAAAGCGTGATGGAGGAACTGAAGAGAATAATTGATGACAGTGAAATTACCAAAGAGGATGATGCGCTGTGGCCTCCTCCTGACCGAGTGGGCCGGCAGGTATGTTTTATTGATTATCCTGTAGTGCAGAAATCTTACAAATAAGGTGAGGCTTATTGCTCTGCATATGATAGTGAAACTCTGTGTGTGTGTGTGTGTGTGTGTGTGTGTTTTATTGATTATCCTGTAGTGCAGAAATCTTACAAGTAAGATGACGTTTGTGCTTTGCATATGATAGTGAAACCGTGTGTGTGTGGGTGTGGGTGTGGGTGTGTGTGGTGGTCAGCCCTGCAGAAAGCAGATTGCCAGCATCGTGGTCTAAGGAAGCACTAATCCCATAGGAAGGAACAGACAGAACAAGTGGTGCTGCTGGCCATCAAGAACCCACCTTGAATTTCTTCTCAGGACCCCCCACACCCACTCCTTCACTTAAAGCTTTTGCTGCCTGTCTCACTAACTACTATGGACAAAGCATCGTGGAGATACAAACAGAAATAGAGCAACACAGTGAGATATTTTTTCTACCAAAACCCTAAAAATTAACCAGGTGTGGTGGCACGTACCTGTAGTCCTAGCTATTTGGGAGGCTAAGGCTGCAGGACAGCTTGAGCCCCTGGGTTACAGTGAGCCTCAGGGTTGCATATGATCCTACCACTGCACTTCAGCTTTGGTGACAAAGTGAGACCGTGTATGTAAAAACAAATCAGTAAAAACATACTACCAAATCTGAAATGAGTGGAACAAATCAGGTGATACGGGAAGGAGAACACAATGGGAGATGGATATCAACTTTGTAATATTTTATTTCTTTAAAAAAAAAAAAGCTGACACATGTATGGCAGTAATTTATAAATCTAGGTATTGGAAACATTGATCTCAGTTTTTTTCTATTTTCTGATTGAATTATAACCAAAATATATATAAATCAAAAAGAAGAAAAAGTAAGTATGGCTCACAAGACTATTAAGTTCCACAGGGCAGAGATCTTTTGTTTGGTTGGTTTTACTTATCTGTCCTAAGCGCTGAATAGGACCCAGTAGGCTCTACATAATATTTTTCGAAGGTTTATGGTACTCATGTCACTGTTTAGAAATTGAGACCCAAAGTCATACAGATACGGAGTGACCAAGTGGGGATCAAACCTAAGGTCTGGAATACTTCCTTTTCCTATGTTGCCTCAATAGGTTAGATCCTCTGGTTCTTGTTTTTGTTTGTTGTTGTTGGAGACAGGGTCTCACTCTGTTGCCTAGGCTGGGGTACAGTGATGAGATCATGGCCGACTGCTGCCTTGACCTCCTGGGCTGAAGGGACCCTTCCACCTCAGCCTCTCTAGTAGCAGGGACCATGGGTGCATGCCACCACACCCAGCTAATTTTTATATTTTTTGTAGAGATGAGGTTTTGCCAAGTTGCCCATACTGGTCTTAAACTCCTGGGCTCATGTGATTCTTCTGCATTGGCCTCCTACAATTGGGATTACAGGTGTGAGCCACCACACCCAGTCCAATTGTTTGGTACTTTTAAAACATAGATGTGTCCATTTTACTCCACATTGTTGACAGTGAAAACTTAGACAAAATACTACATAGGCTGGGTGTAGTGTCTCTTGCCTGTAATCCCAGCAGTTGGGAGGCTGAGGCAGGCAGATCACCTGAGGTCAGGAGTTCAAGATCAGCCTGGCCAATATGGCGAAACCCTGTCTCTATTAAAAATACAAAAAATTTAGCCAGGCGTGGTGGCGGGCACCTGTAGTCCCAGCCACGTGGGAGGCTGAGGCAGGAGAATCACTTGAACCCTGGAAGCAGAGGTTGCAGTGACCCATGATCATGCCACTGCGCTTCAGCCTGGGCGAGAGAACAAGACTCCATCTCAGGAAAATTAAAAAAAAAAAACTTCATAGATTTTTTTCAAATCGCAGAAATAGTAGAGCCTTGAGGGTACAATTTCTTCTAAATATGAGCTTTATTTATGTCTTGTTTCTAGTCCCCAGCACAGTTTAGTGTTCAGAGTGAACTGCCCTTGTTTTTATGGCCATCTGTAGTCAAGTTTGTGTGATTTGGCAAATGATTAATCCTTCTGTATGCTTGATGAAGCATCCAATTTTACTTGACTTAGATTTTCTAAAATGTTTCTAGGAGCTTGAAATCGTTATTGGAGATGAACACATTTCTTTTACAACATCAAAAATTGGTTCCCTTATTGATGTCAATCAATCCAAGTAAGTGTGCATTATCCTTATATCCAGTTGTGTCTGTTTTGGAGCAGATTGATAAGAAGCTCTTAACCAAATTGGGATCACTATGGGAAGATCTGGAACAAATGCAAAATACAGGTGGGCAGCTTTGTCCTCCTTGTTAGGGAGGGATCTCAAATTATTTTTGAAGACTTGCTCCTATTACTTTTGGTATTTCATTCAGTCATTGCTACTGAGAGCTTCTTGTTGACCCACACATACAGATTAATGCATAGGAGCAGCCAGGACAAAAATGGAATATGCCAGGAAAGTGCTCATGATAAACCGTAGAGTCACCAAGTCTGAGCAGCCTTCTCAGTGTGACTGTTCAGACTGGCACATCTTAAAATCTGACTTTGATGAAACTTGACAATTTTTAGGATCTAAATTTTATTTGATTTTAACTTTATTAATTTTTACAAATAATTTTGGTGAAAAGGGTTTGGTGAAAATGGATCAAATTTTAAAATTCATGTTGTCAGTGGGGCAGATTATTAAGTTGAGGCATGAACCTATGTGCTACAAAGAATCTTTAGATAAAATTTGGCAACTTCTTTGGCTCTTATGTTTTGAGGATTCAGGGTTAGATATGGCTCATTTTTAGCAAATGTTGGGTATAATTATCTTCCTTTGGACACTCTCCTTGTTCTTTCCTTTGGATACTCTTTGTTCTTAGCTAGTGATGCCACAGTAATCTTCATCCTCTTGGTCCTGCTTAGTACAACTACTTTTTTAAAAAGTTTTCCTAACTCTTCAAGTAATACATGCTCATTGTAGAAAATATAGGAAATGTAGAAAAGTAGAAAGGGGAAAATCATCAATTATCTTATCAGACAACCTTTATTAATATCTTGCAGTATTTCTTTTTAGTCTTTTTTTCTGTGCATTAATAGAATATATACTTTTAAGAAGCATAAAAAATATAGTCGAGATCGATAATTGTTAATTTTTTTCACTTAAGGTAAGCATTTCCCTATTACTTCATAATATACCATTTTAATATATAGTCTTTTCCTTTTTTGGTCAAAGTTTTAATGCCCTAAATATCTTTACAAGGAACATCTTGATAGAGAAATAACTGAGATTATTAAATGGTATCTTTTTGCCCATTTTACCTCAATGTTTTAAACTTTTTTTTTCCTTTTGCATTTTAGGGATCCAGAAGGCTTACGAGTATTTTATTATCTTGTCCAGGACCTGAAGTGTTTGGTCTTCAGTCTTATTGGATTACACTTCAAGATTAAACCAATCTAGATTGAATATTGGTGTGGACATGGAGGGGTGGGGGTAGCTTTTAATTAGCATTATCAAGAAAATTTTGTGTATATCAGGGCAGTATTTTTTTATAAACTATAAATGATTGTCTTTAATAAATGTGATAAAATCTAATTTTTATTATTTTATAAAGACCTGAACATGTGAAGTCTTCTCAATTACTTTGTAAAACACTAACATCCTATGTGAAGTATTGCCCAAACATCAAGTCTAATCAACTCTCTAGATATAACTATCATTTTATAGGAAATAAGAGAATATAGAAACATGATTTAAAAATATAGTGGGATTTCAGTCAGCCATATTGAGAGGAAATTCCAAGACAAATGACCTAGTTTCTTCAATAAATTACAAGGGAAACAGAGATGGAGTGGGAACTTAGAAGACACATAACACAATATTTGGACCCTATTTGGATAATGATTCAAAAAAATGTAAAATTAGGCCAGATGTGGTGGCTCACGCCTGTGATCCCAGCATCTTGGGAGGCCAAGGTGGGTGGATCACCTGAGGTTAGGAGTTTGAGACTTGCCTGGGTAACATGGTGAAACCACATCTCTACTAAAAATACAAAAATTAGCCAGGTGTGGTGGTGTGCACCTGTAGTCCCAGCTACTCAGGAGGATGAGGCAGGAGAATCACTTGAACCCGGGAGGCAGAAGCTGCCGTGAGCCCAGACCGTACCACTGCACTCCAGCCTGGGCAACAGAGCGAGACTCCATCTCAGAAAGAAAAAAAAGTAAAATACTATTAAGGAAATTTAACATTGGTTTGATGATTTAGGTATGAAATAGTATGGTGGTTGGAGTTTTAAAAATCATCTTTTATAGATACATCTATATTAGTAGGTATTTCAGTGTGGGGGAAAGTACTTTGTTTTCATACATGACACAGGATAAAATTCCTGGTCTCAGCGCTAAGTTTTCCATTAATCCATTTTAAAATCACAATACCAACAGCCATTCAGGACTGTTAAGTTGCCCAGGTAGTGTGGAATTTGTTCAGCAGGTAGACCTGCGGACAACTTTTCCTTTCTGCTAAATTACATGGCTTCTTTAGGAAAAGTACTGGTAGGAAAGATTGCACCTGCTGAAAGGAACTAGGCCTACAAACCCTCATTTGCAGGGAAGTGATTAACCTAAACGTACTCTCCTAAAAGCAGGCCAGCTTAAGACAAGGTCCCAAGTGTCCTGACCCCTGGACCAGTGCTTTTTCCACCACACTCTACTTCAGGAACTATGGGGCAAGTTAAGACCTGCAGTGAGAGGTCAGGGTTCCTGGCTCCAGTGCACCTCCTTGGGGCAATGAGGCAAGTTGATAGTAGACACCAAAAAAGTCATTATAAACTTTATAAAGAATTGACAGGACCTCAAGTTATTTAAAAGAGTCTTTTTTGTTTTGTTTTCTGAGGCAAAGTTTTTAGCATAGAAAAGTATTCCTGGCTGGTGCAGTGGCTCACGCCTGTAATCCCAGCACTTTAGGAGGCCGAGGCCAGTGAATCATCTGAAGTCAGGAGTTTGAGACCAGCCTGACCAACATGGTGAAACCCCGTCTCTACCAAAAACACAAAAATTTGCCAAGCGTGGCGGTACATGCCTGTAATCCCAGCTACTTGGGAGGCTGAGGGAGGAGAATCACTTGAACCCAGGAGGCGAAGGCTACAGAGCCGAGATTGCGCCATTGCACTCCAGCCTGGATGATAAGAGTGAAACTCTATCTCAAAAAAAAAAAAAAAAAAATTCTTGTCACACCAACCATAATACTGAATTCAGTTAATATTTGTCCTTCAAGGCTTTAAATCTTTTTTACTGAAAGAGACAAAATATTACAGATACAATTATGTCTTCTTGGTTCCCAAATTCCTCTTCCTACTGTAATGATGAAGTAACTACAATGATGAATTTAGCAGGTATCCCTTCAGTCCATTGCTTAAAGATTGTACAGATACGTAGCCCCGAACAATATATGGTATTGCCTTTATATCTTTCAGTGTTACACTGCACTATTCTGCAACTTTTCTTCATTCAAGATTATACTTCTGAAACCTATCCATAATTGATATACAAAAATCTTGTTTATGCCTTTGCATTTGCTATTTTGTATTTTAAATTGAAGTTACCATAAGGCTTGCAAATAACCCATCATTTTAGACTGATGACAACACTGATTACAAAAAGAAAACGAATAAAAACTCAACATTTTAACTTCATCCTCCATGCTTATTAATTTTTAATTTTTTGTTTTTTTGGAGACAGGATCTTGAGTCTGTGACCGAGTTGGAGTGCAGTGGTGCAATCACAGCTCACTGTAGCCTTGACCTCCCAGGCTAAAACAATCCTGCCTCAGCTTTCCTAGTAGCTGGGACCACGGAAATGTGCCATCATGACTGGCTAAGTTTTTCATTTTTTGTAGAGACAGGGTCTGGCCGGTCTCAAACTCTGCACTGAAGCCATCCTCCTACCTCAGCCTCCCAAAGTGCTGGAATTACAGGTTTCAGTCACTGTGCCTGGCATATATGCATGTGTGTGTGTGTGTGTATGTATTTTTTTTTTTTTTTTAGACAAAGTCTCACTCTGTCACCCATGCTGGAGTTCAGTGGTGTGACCTTGCCTGACTGCAACCTCCACCTCCCAGGCTCAAGCAATCCCACCTCAGGCTCCTGAGAAGCTGGGACAACAGGCGCATGCCACCACACCCAGCTAATTTTTTGTATTTTTAGTAGAGATGGGGTTTCACCGTGTTGCCCCAGCTGGTCTTGAACTCCTAAGCTCAAGCAATCCACCTGCTTCAGCCTCCCAAAGTGCTGGGATTATGGGCATAAGCCACCGCACCTGGGCCCTATTTATATCTTACACTGTCTGTGTTTTGAGGTTATTATTTTTGATAGGTTCATCATTTAGTCTTGCTACTCAAGATAGTAGTTTACACACAATTACAGTGTCAAAATATTTTGCATTTGTCTATGTAGTTACTATTCCCGATGAGTTTTGTGCCTTCAGACGATTTCTCATTGCTTGTTAATGTCCTTTTCTTTCAGAATGAAGAACTTTAGCATTTCTTGAAGGACAGGTCTGGTGTTGACAAAATCCCTCAGCTTTTATCTGCCTAGGAAGTCTTCATTTTTCCTTCATGTTTAATTGATATTTTTGCCGGGTATACTATTCTAAGATAAACATTTTCTTTTCTTCAGCACTTTTAATGTCATGCCACTCTTCCCTGCCTGTAAGGTTTCCATTGAGAAGCCTGCTGCCAGACGTACTGGAGCTTCTTTGTGTATTATTTTCTCTTGCTGTTTTTAGGATCCTTCTTTATCTTTGACTTTTGGGAGTTTAATTATTAAATGACATGAGGTAGTCTTATTTGGGTTAAATCTCCTTGGTGTTCTATAACTTTCTTATACTTGAATATTGATATCTTTCTCTAGGTTTGGGAAGTTGTTGTTATTCCTTTGAAAAAACTTTCTATCCTAATTTTTCTCTACCTTCTCTTTAAGGCCAATAACCTATTGATTTGCCCTTTTGTGTCTATTGTCTAGATATTGTAGGCGTGCTTCATCCCTCATTTTTTCTTTCATTTCTTCTGTGTATTTTCAAATAGCCTGTCTTCAAGCTCCCCAATTCTTTCTTCTGCTTGATCAATTCTTTTTTTTTTTTTTTAGATGGAGTCTCACTCTGTTGCCCAGGCTCCTGGAGGACAGTGGCACAATCTCAGCTCACTGCCTCTGCCTCCCAGGTTCAAGTGATTCTCCTGCCTCAGCCTCCTGAGTAGCTGGGACTACAGGTACATGCCACCACATCCAGCTAATTTTTGTATTTTTAGTAAAGACCGGGTTTCACCATATTGGTCAGGCTGATCTCGGAACTCCTGACCTCATGATCCGCCCACTTCGGCCTCCTAAAGTGCTGGGATTCCAGGTGTGAGCTACCATGCCCAGCCTGCTTCATTGTCACATGTTGAGAGACCCTGGTGCATTCTTTGGTATATCAGTTGCATCAGCTCCAGAATTTCTATTTGATTTTAAAAATTGTTTCCACCTCTTTGTTAAATTTATCTGGCAGGATTCTGAATTCCTTTTCTATCTTGCATTTCACTGAGCTTCCTCAGTGACAGTGAATTCTGTCTGAAAGGTCACATATCTCTCACTCTGGGATTGGTCACTGGTACCTTATTTAGTTCATTTGGTTAGGTCATGTTTTCTTGGATGGTCTTGATGCTTGTGGGTGTTGAATAATTAGGTGTTTATTGTAAGTTTCACAGTTTGGGCTTATTTGTACTCATCCTTCTTCAGAAGGCTTTTCCAAATATTCAAAGGGAAGTGAGTGCTGTAATCTAAATCTTTGGTCACTGCAGCTGTAACTGCATCAGGGGGCACCTCAAGCCCAGTGATGCTGTGACTTTTGCAGACTCAGGGGTACTGCCTTGATAGTCTTGGTGAAGATTTGAGAGAATTCCCTGGATTACTAGGCAGAGTCTCTTGTTCTCTTCCTTTTCCCCAAATAAATGGAGTCTCTCCATGCTAAGCTGCCTGGAGTTGGGAGAGGAGTGACACAGGCACCCCTGTGGCCACCACCGTTGGACGTGAGCTGTGTCAAACCTGAAGCCAGCACAGCAGTGGGTCTTGCCCAAGGCCCCTGGTGACTATTGCCTGGGTTCTGCTGATGTTATTCAAGGCCCAAAGGCTCTTTCGTCAGCAGGTAGTGAATCCAGCTAGGCTCATGTCTTCTCTTTGGGGTGGCAGGTTCCCTTCTGGCCCAGGGTGGGTTTAGAAATGCTGTCCAGGAGCTAGGGCATGGAGTCTGGACTTGAGAAATCTACTTGGTGCTTTATTTTACTGTGGCTGAGCTGGTACCCAAGTTGTAAGACAAAGTCCTTTCTAGACTTTCCTCTCTTTTCCTTAAACAGGAGTCTTGCCCAGTACTGTGGCTATTACTAATGTCTATTCTAGGCCCAACAGCTCTTTGGTCAGCAGGTGATTAATCCTGCCAGGATTGGGTCCTTTCCTTCAAAGTAGCAGTTCCCTTGTGGCCCACGGTAGCTCTAGAAATATGTGAGAGACAGAGCCTGGCAAGGGGCCTTCAGGACTCTGCTTGGTTATTCTACTGTTGCTGGGCTAGTATTCAAGTTGTAA